GGGTTGTATGTATGTTATAATGTCTGTATGTTGGGTCATTTTGATGAGCCTTGGAAATCTGTTACTTTCATTTAAGAAAACTATGAAGAAAGCTGCGCAAGGATATTGTTCGTTTCCAGCAATGCAAATAAAAACAAAATTGTATTTAACACAAATTGCAGTCTTTTGTGTTAGGCAACGATTTTTCGTATCTAGAATCAACTCTGATCTATCTGATTACATTTGAGAAGTACAAACATATACATATATTCATGCATGAAAGCACCTTCTGAAGTGACATCTAAAGTATCAAATTTTAAGGAAACAATTTACAGAAAGAATGCTAGTCTAGTTTTTACTCATATCATGCAAGAGCACCACTGATTAGACAAATTACACACTGCTTTCTCACTATGTCCACCTCCTTTGTGTCCTTATGCAGAAATACATGTTTCTTCTTGGGCATGTATATGTGTGGGTGGGTTTCTTTGTTTTTTTTTTTAAGATGGAGTTTCGCTATTGTTGCCCAGGCTGGAGTACAATGGTATGATCTCTGTTCACCACAACCTCTGCCTCTGCCTCCCAGGGTCAAGTGATTCTGCTGTCTCAGCTTCCTGAGTAGCTGGGATTACAAGTGCCCATCATCACGCCCAGCTAACTTTTTGTATTTTTAGTAGAGACAGGTTTTGCCATGTTGGTCAGGCTGGTCTTGAACCCCTGACCTCAAGTGATCTGTCTACCTTGGCCTCCCAAAGTGCAGGGATTACAGGCGTGAGCCACCCCACCTGGCCATGTGAGGTTTTTTCGTTGTTTAGACTAAATTTAGTGTTCTGAAACTGAACAATAGTGAGTAAATTGACTTAACTGGGATCACAGATCCGTTTTCACATTTTCATTATCGACCATAATAATTTGTTCTAATTCAGCTTGTGCTGTTTCATCAATCCATGACTATCAGTAAAAATTTCACAAATAGGCAAGTGGTGTATTTCCTGGCAGAAAGCTGATCGCTGTCAGCAATCATAAAAGCTCTAATCTTAAGATTGATATTGAGAATATTGAGTGATAAAATCATGAATAGAACACTGAATAATAAACTTTACTTGCAGTTTTTTTTTTTTTTTTTTTTTTTTTTTTTTTTTTTTTTTTTGAGACGGAGTTGCCCAGGCTGGAAGGCAATGGTGTTATCTCGGCTCACTGCAACCTCCACCTCCCGGATTCAAGCAATTCTCTTGCCTCAGCCTCCGGATTACAGGCACCCGCCACCACACCCAGCTAATTACTGTATTTTTAGTACAGGCGGGGTTTCACCATGTTGGCTAGGCTAGTCTCGAACTCCTGACCTTAAGTGATCCGCCCACCTTGGCCTCTCAGTGTTTTTTTCTGTTCACCAGAGCTTAGGAAAATCACAGAATTGACAGCTCTGGAGGGCAGCCCATTTGGCAAGTCCCACTGATGTTTTTTAAAGCATTCGACAAAGTCTTTATCTTCCTGGCATTTCAACAGCACCCATGCTATTTGTCCTTACACTGTGTGCAGAGCTTTCCTGGTGAGCAGGAGATGGGGATTGCAGAACAGGAGCATCCTAAATGCTGTTTTTTAATACACTGAAATTCTCATTTTGTGAGGGTGTTTGTATACAAATATGTTTTAATATTACTTGCAATGTTAGAAGATTGGAAATTACTGACAATCCCCCCCACTAACACACTTTTTGCTTATTTTGGATATAGCAGAAAATTTTTTTCTCATTCTTAGCTGCTCTTTACATGTGAGCATTTTATAATTGCTTTAAACGTAAAGGCACATTTTAAAAGAAAGCACCTTTCACTTAATGTGCGTGTGTGTGTAAAACAGGTCTGTGAAAATCCAAAATTAAATTATTTCCAGTTGGGGCCTTGTCCATAGCCTGTACTCAACCTTAACAGCCTAAGTCACATGGATGCATTTGTGATACCGTTTCTGATGAATGGCTTCTATCACAAAGAATGTCAAAACTTTGATAATGTTGCACATGCACGTCAAACCAGCTACAGATACTTTTGGCAATGGAATCCAAAGAACTCTGCTAGCTCTAAGAACAAGAATGATCTCTGAAACAAACATTTTTAGAGATGAACATATTCGTTCAAATGTCTAGCTTTAATCATTTTCTCAAATATTTGAAACACATTCCTCAAATAGTTCCAGTTTAATATGTATTACCCTAGCTTAATTCTCCCATGTATCTTAAAACTCTTTTATAGTAAGAAACGGTTGTTGAGACATTATTTCTCATTTGAGTTTGTTTATCCAACTTTCGAGTAACAATTTTGTGATTTTAAATAGCAAATGAAGAATTAGTATTTAAACACTCTTTCATACTTGTTGGAAGTTTTAAAAAATTTTCCGTGACCAGGCATGGTACACCTGTATTCCTAGAACATTGGGAGGCCAAGGAGGTTGGATCGCTTGAACCCAGGAGTTCAACACCAGCCTGGGCAACATAGTAAGACCTCATCTCGATAAAAAACAAATTGGCTGGGAATAGTGGTGCAGGCCTGTGGTACCAGCTAGTTGGGGGCTGAGGCCAGAGGATCGCTTCAGCCCAGGAGGTTGAGGCTGGCAGTGAGTTGGGTTCACACCACTGCACTCCAGCCTGGGTGACAGAGCGAGACCCTGTCTCAAAAAAACAACAACAAAAGTTTTGTGCATGGAGAGGTGGTATCTATATTTAAAAAAAAAAAAAAGTATCTGGGAGAACTGGAAACCTTTGCTTTTGGTTGTAGTATTTTAGAAACAGAGGCATTTATCAACTTGAAGCAGCTTGCACTTGGAAAAGGATTAATTCAGTTTACTCTGAAGGACAAATTAGCTATAGAGTAATTCTTACTAGCGTTAACCTGCAGAGGAAAGCATAGTAGTGAAATTATTTCTGAATTAAACCACTCTATTGACATGTATGCACTGAGTGATAGATTCCCTGGTTTTGTAATTTCTAGAAAGTTTCTCTGTTGAGCCTTGCTGAGCCTGCTGTTTAAATGTTTGTTGCGCTCTCTTCTGTCTCAGCACTGATGTCGGTACCCATGTCTATGGTGTACACCCTAGTTTTAGACTGACTGCGGTTACAGTGACTGGATCCCTTATCTCTGAGCCATTAACAGCAATTACTTGACTCCAGTCCTTTGACTTGCTTCTCAGTGGCACAGGACAATGAGAAAACATACAACATCAACAACAAAAGTGAATTGTTTTGTTTAGCAAATATTTTGGCACAACATTGTTAGAAATACTTGAAAGAGTGTGAAGGATATTATGTAGCCATAATAGTAACGCTTGTTATTCAATGTCAGTCCGACATCACCCTCATCCATAATGAACGCTTTCATGGTACTTCCATGTGCTTGGTCTGATTCTAAGCACTTTATATAGATGAATGCACAGAAACTAACAACCAAATGAGTAGAACAATTACATGCCCTTGTTACAGATAAAGGAAAACCAGAGTTAAATAACTTGCCCAAGATGACACAGCCAGTAAGTGGTAGTGTTGGGATGCAAGCCCAGAGCCTCAATGGGGTATTCTTTTTTTTATGGCAGATAATTACAGTATGTGAAAGAGCTCCTGGAATTTCCATCATTAAAATATAATTTAAATCACTCTGAGCTTTTGCTTGTTTAAAACAACTATAAGTAAAGAAGTACAGAGGTTAACTAATAGCAAGTGACATCATGGTTAACCCCATGGTTAATTTTGGTTGAAAACAAGCACCGGCAGATTGAAAATATGGGCTGATGATCAGTATGCATGACTCTGAAATAATTTGAAATTTGATATATTTTTCCACTTGATTTCAATCACTAGAAAAGCATCACATTTAGATAATTGTTACAATGGTTTAAAGTTTACCCAAATCTTTCTTAGAAGATTTAAGTTTTACTAGCCCTCTCTAATTGATGATTCTTCAGTCAATCCCACAGTCTCATCTTAATCATCCTACAAATGCTCAAGCTACTCTTTCATTTCCATGGGAAGTCCAGTGTCCTGTGATGCCCTTTCCCTCCTGAGGTGTTAGGAAGGCTCTTTTTAACCATACCTCAGATGGAGAGAGAAATATAGGATTGAGAAAATTAGAAGTACATTAAGAATAAAATATGATCATTTAAGCTACTTCTGCTTTCTTTTAAAAATTTTTATTTTATACTTAAATATTTCATAGAATTTTGGAGATAAAACTTAAAAGTAATATAAAACTTGTCTTTAAATTAGAATAGACTTATTGATGTTTCACAAAGAGAATTACAGATGCTTCCCAAATACCACCTGTCCTTCTATAGATTAACTCAGATGCATCTTTATAAATCCTAGAGAAAAAATAATGCTCATCTCTTAAGATTATAATCAATAGTCATTGTTTGCTTTTCAAGCAAATTAGTGATAAAGCTTATAATTTTTTCAGCTTGTCATGTTAATAAAATTTACTACTTTTAGATTCTTTACTAGGTGATTTTTTTAGCTTGATCCTAAAACTGGACTACAGTTCCAGGACGAGACGATAAACAAATTATTCTGTTAACTAGCATAAGCTCCTTCTGCAAACATTTTATTACATATACAGAAAAAGCTAGAAGTTTTAGAGCACATAGGATAAAAATAAAGATTAAAAAAAAAAGTGGAACCCTTTCTGATAAGAACTTAATTTTCCTAGTTATTTTAAGCCCATATTTTTATCCAACCGTATGTGGGGACATGCAGGCAGCATTGCTTCTGATTTCATTATGCACTCCACTCTCTGACATCCAAGGCAACAGATCTTACACAGGTACATGCCAGAAGTGCAGGGCTCACACTTGGCCACAAATAACTTCTGTGACATATTGAGTAGGATATTAGAGAGGTGAGAAGGTAGGGTAAGCCCTCAGGATCAGGGCAGGGTGAACACCCAGGCGCTGACATGAATGGCCCCACACATACATGGTGTACATCAGACCCCAGTGACATTCATTTCCAAGCTGATAGGTTACCAAGGAAGGGGCCTTACCCGGGCCTTCTGCTCCATTTCTAGCATTAATCTTTCATGTTGCTCAGCTATGGCCAATGTTGCAGAATGGACCTTCTGATAGATCATTTCTCCTTCCCTCGTTTGAAAAGTGAATAGTCCTTCTCCTGTGTCACACATTCTGTGAGAACAGAGATAGGGAAAGAGATGGGTCTCCATGTGTTCAAGTACATAAGTTTTCCACGTAGACAAAACCCTTACCCTTGTGCCTCCTCCTCCTGACCTCCACAGGAGTTAGTGAGGCTAATTCAGCCATAAGCAAACGAACCAAAAAATGCATCTTTAAATGGTACATGAAAATGGAACTTAAAATAAAAATCCATGTATATTTGGATGTTTAAAAATGAAGCATTCGCAACAGTGTAAAGGAACAAAAAGTGATTTAGATAATGACAGTGGGTGCTTTCCAATATTTAAAGATTAAAAACGAATTACAGTATTCTTATCTGCCATTATGATATAGACTATTATGGACAAACTGTTATGCAGTTATGTCATTTCTGAGAGCATATAAAATTATGTCAATTCAGGGAAAAATCGGAATGCAAATTCTTTTTTAACTAATTACTTTTTAAAAACACTGGGAAAATTCCACTAACAAGTTATTCAGTAGGATTATAGGTAAGTTTTATTAACAAAGGCTAACTCTAAAATGGAAAACATTTTAATATTTTAAGCTAGCTTTTAAGAAAGTTTTCAGAAAGACCCACCCAATATCAATATGCTAATATTTGGATATTGGCTATTAACTGGATTTCTGTGTTGATTTTTCAGGTTACAACATCAAGCAATTTTCAAGTTATAACAAATATTCATGAGGAAAACTTTCTCTGAGCACCAAAAAGATTTTAGATTCTTCTGATTCTCAAGGAGTTTTCAATAGAAAAGAAATGTCTCAAGAGGCTCCCGACATTACAGAGGCTGCAACTGTGATCCCTTAGGGCCCTATAGAGCCAGCACTTAGCTTCTCTGAAAGAGATCTTAATAAAATTCACACAGCGTGAAATGGAAAGTCTGGGGGAAAAAATGAAGAGTTTTCACAAAGTGAAACAAATGAGCTTTCTTTGTTGATTCAGAGTAAGGAGCATCGGCAACAAAACCATTAAGTAGTGAGTGCATCTTGTTTGAGGTTGAGCTTTTTCATAGTCATCTGAAAAACAGTGCTTATTAGCCTTTGGAAATGAGATAATGGAGGCACAGATTGTTGTTTCACACTCAGTCATTAAGATGTAAAGGTTGAGTGCTTGTCCACTTCCTGGGATTTAACTCTGCCCCGCGCAGGAGCTTGCCCGTTTACAGGAGGGATTTTTGTCTCTGAAGTAAAAACTACTGTAAACTTCATTCTTTGGTCATGAACTAAGGCATTTCAAATAGCATAAAAAGCAAAGAAACTTTAGGTAGAAGATGCTGTTTCTTCAGTGAAGGTCAACTTTATGATTTTTGTCAGCCATGTTGGAATAAATGGGCTAGGTGATATGGTTTGGCTCTGCGTCCCCACCCAAATCTCATCCCAAATTGTAATTCCCATGTGTCCAGGGAGGGACCTGTAATCCTCACATGTGGAGGGAGGGAAGTGATTGGGCGGTTTCTTCCATGATGCTCTCCTGATATTGAGTTCTCATGAGATCTGATGGTTTTGGAATCAGAATGTTTGGAAATTCCTCCTTTGCTCTTCTCTCTTGCCACCATGTGAAGGTCCTTGCTTCCTTTTCACCTTCCACCATGATGGTAAGTTTCCTGAGGCCTCCACAGCCATGTGCAACTAAGCCAATTAAACCTCCTTCCTTTGTAAATTACCCAGTCTTGGGTATTTCTTCCTAGGAGTATGAAAATGGACTAATACCCTAGGTTTCTCTTGTTTAAAATGTGTTCTTTTGGGGCTGTTAGGGAACAGATAGACCGTTTCATATCTGTCTAAACAGTCTTGTGGTAACAAGCCAATACTACAGAATATAATTAGGAGAAAGAGGAAACAATTTAGATGGCATTTGACTTGCTCCTCAAAGCATGGTCCACGGATCAGCAGCATCTGCCCCCTGGGAGCTTGTCCAGACTGTCAAATCCAAATCTGCATTTAACACACCCCCAGGTGACTCACATGCACATTATATTTGATAATGATGACTCCAGAACCTTCTCCACAGGCCACCATTTCATTGAAGAAGAGTGGGAGATGACACATGAGACCCACAGGAGGACACATTAGAAGCTGCATTTGCACAGCTTTTTGAAGACTGTGATATATAAAACTAATATTAGAAAGAAATATATCAAAAAGGGCAAATGAACCCAAAGAATCATTTCTTTAACTTGGGAAAAACTAAAACAGAGGTGTTAGTTACATTTCAACCCCCAACTCCCTTGCCGACAAGATGCATATTCCTCAATTGCATTTATTTTGTGAAACAGGGAAAATACGGATGACATATTTATCGTGACTTCAAACTAGAATTCTATTTATCTGTAGACAGTTGCAAATGTAATCTCTTTATATCTAACAATGACTTTGTACAAAATGTTTTTTTCTTATCTAAAATAGTGTTGGATAATCTCTAAGGTTTCTTTCAGCTCAGGAATATTGTAGGGCCTCACAAAAATTCTAAGAGGTAAACAGAACTGGCACACTTGTTTCCAGAATTCTTTTTTGTTTGATATTGTGATAGGGAAATTATAACAATATAGGACTCAAAAGACTAGGGCACCAATTTCAACCACAATGTTCTAGGCTGTCATATAAATTTATCATATAATTTTCAAGTAGCTACTATAACCTAGGCACCATTTGGGGCCTGAGACTTGAATAGGAGGGAAAAATATATATGGACTATTGCTTCTGAGGCTTTTGAGTAGTGGGGAAAGGCCAGCAAGAATCACAAACTTACTGTGATATGTGCTACCAGGGAGAAGTATAGGGCCATGAGGAGGACAATTAGGGATTAATCTGAGCCAGTTACTTTACCTATTAACTTCTCACCTATAAAATCACCAACAAGAATTTTAGTTTTTTTTTAAATTAAATGAAGTAATGTATGTGATAGTGGGCAGTAAAGGGTTAATGTAGCAGTCCCCAGTTGGTTATTCCAACCCTGCACATTGTTCATTCCTATTTTTAGGATGGGCCTATGGCTGGCTTCTGGGATATGATCTCTGGGACCTTTGGAATACTCTGCCTGTTTCTGTAAGTCTGAGACCTTGGGCCATGCTGTACCCAGTTGACCAGATACATTAATCCCAACAAAGGATAGCCCAGCAGGAATGCCTGTTTTCAGTCTGATGCAGCCTGGAGCCTGAGTAGCTGAGTCAGTCCTGGGGGTGCTGCATGCCTACATGACTGACCCCCAATAAAAACCTTGGACATCGAGGCTCAGGGGAACTTCTCTGGTTATGGCACTGCATGTGTTGTCACACGTCATTGCTGGGAGAACTAAGGGTGTCCCCATGCAACCCCACTGGGAGCGGCCTTGGAAGCTTTTGCCTGGACTCTCCTGGTCTTTCATCCCTTGTGACTTTTCCCTTGGCTGATTTTAATCTTATTTCTCACTGTGGTGATAGAAACTGTGAGCATAATGTGTTTTTCTGAGTCTTGTGAATCTTCTAGAGGATTATCGAGCTGGAGGGTGGCCTTGGGAACCCTTCCATCTGACACTGCCAGCATGTGCTAAGGAGTCAATATGTTTTATGTAGTAAGAATGTAAAATTCCTAGTTTTTTCCCTAAATGTCTGTCTGTCACTATGGAATCTAAGAGAATATCCTCTTTATCCAGTCTCACCACTCACATCCAGAATCACTTGAAACAGTAGTTGTCAGACTTATCTCTGTTATGTTCTGGTAAATAAAAAATAACCAGGGATCATGTGGATGTATATATTTGAAGGAAACTGAACTCCAAAGGAGGTGTTCCACTATTCATCATTCTTAGTTGCTTTCAAGGGCAGAATCAGCCCTAACATGGTGCATGGAGGAATTTTCTGGAGAAAAAATTCCTAGCGTTGAACTACTAGACCACACCCCTTTTTTCTTGTCTGTAACTCTCAATGGCTCTCTATGAAGGCGTGACTTTGAAATGCCACTTCCCACATGATGTGTGAAATAAATTTACCAAGTCAAAAATTATGGAGATATTTTACTTAAAGTGTAGACACTGATTTTTTGTGGGTCTCTAGATAAAATTTTGCTACAGATGAGTTAGTTGACATCTGGCAGTTTTGTCCATCTTCACAGCTGTATAATTTCATTCTCACTAAGTTTTACAATATTGTATACATATTTAATAACCATATATTTATTCTCCTTGAACACAAATTTTAAACTTTCAGTAATGGGGTAGAGTAAGGAGCATGTTCCTAAAAACCCAGTGGTATTTCTGTTCAGTATTTAAAATTTAATGTTTAATTATAGAACATAATGAAATTCTTCAAAGCACAGCTTTTCCACAGAGCAGTTAAAACCAATTAACACTTTTATTCTGTTAACAGTTTAATCTTTATTGTCACTTAACAATGCTAGAATTTTATTTTTTTTGCTGCTATGGAAAGATTGGTTACTCTGAGTCAGACTTTGATCTAAGAAACTCTGGGCAAAATGGACAAGCAGTTTGTGAAAAACAGTACAGAAAAGTCAGTAAAGCAACAGTACAGAAAGTCAAGAAATAGACCCAGTTCATATAATAGTTAAATATATGGTCAAAGTAGAGTCTCAGATCAGTTAGGGAAAGCTGACCTCTTCAACAAACTGTTGAATGGTAGCCATTTGGGAAAAAAAATTTGAATCCATGTTTCTTCCTCCATTGATAGAAATTCCAGAGAAAGCAAATGGGGAAAAAAGCACCATAAGAAAATATCAAAGAATTTCTATATGAACTCAGAAAGGAGAAGGGATTTCAAGTGAGGATTCAAATAAAGTCACAGAAGAATAGATGAATCTGCCTGTGAAAATACTTTTTAAAAATAATAGAAATCATTAAGATATAAGACAAAAACAAGAATATGGAAACTCAAAACGATTTCTCTTGTTTCATCTAGCAACATATTTTAGAAATTCAACTACTTCAGTAGTAGTTGTAATAAATAATAGTAGTATTCAGTGAAGAATAAGTTAGACATTGTTTAAGGGTTTACACA